GGGGTGCAGTTTGGTGCCACGGGGTGCACTGGGGTACAGTTTGGTGCCACGGGGTGCAGTTTGGTGCCACGGGGTGCACTGGGGTACAGTTTGGTGCCATGGGGTGCAGTTTGGTGCCACGGGGTGCACTGGGGTGCAGCCATAGAGTGCTGTGGGCACAGTGGTGCCAGTGTGAGCAGGTTCCTGCTGAGCTGCAGCCGTTGCCTTCAGCCCAAGGACACGCGTGGGAAAGGGACCCCTGAGCTCCCTCGTGCTGGGAGGGGTCGCCCCCCACCCTCAAACCTCCGAGGCTCCAGCAGCCCCGCGGGGCACAGCAGCTCTCAGGCTTGGCACCGGCTGTGCCAGCACCAGGGGGATCCGGGGGCCACGGGGACACAGTGACTGTGTGGCACCCCCGGAGGGAGGGTCCCTCAGGTCCCGGCTGTGCCAACACCAAGTGGGATTCCAGTCTCATGATGACACCGTGACTTTGTGGCACCCCCAGGAGGGAGGGTCCCCAGGGCCCCCTGGCTGTGCTGACACCAGAGAGATCCCAGCCCCACAGTGCCACAGTGACTTGGTGGCACCTCCAAAGGGGGGTCCCCAGAGACCCCCCAGCCATGTCGACACCAGTGGGATCCCTGCCCATCCCCGTGGTGACACAGGGGCTTCACGGCACCCTGGGAGGGAGGGTCCCCAGTGCCCCCCAGCTGTGCCCGCAGGGAGGTCTCTGCTCATCCCGCGGCTCCCGCTGAGCGGGCAGCGTTCCCGCAGGGACGTGGGGACAGACCGTGCCGTGTGCCAGGCCAGGGGACACCGTGTGCCAAGCGCCACGTGCCGGGGCAGGTGCTGCCCCGTCCTGCGCGGGTTTGGCTGCGGGCAGGGCCCGGCAGCTGCCCCGGAGCCGGGGGTGTGCTCGGCGCTGTCCCCCCTGACGGTGCCGGCTCTGACCCTTGGCTCAGTGGGCACCGGGCCAGTGCCGCGTGACGCCGCCGTGGCACGGGCTGGGGGGCTCCCGCTGGCCACCGCCCGCCGGCACCGCGCCCGGGTGACACCCAGGGGGGCCCGGGCACCGCCGCGGAGCCCCCCGCCCCCGGGGGGGGACATCCACCGACCTCCCCTTGTGGCACCGTGCCAGGGGAGGGAGGGTCCCCCACCCATCCCGGTGACTCCTGTCCCCCCCGGGTAGTGCCTGCCGGGGGGCTGCCATCCCCGTGCCCATCACCCTCGTGTCCCACCGCAGGTGCCAGCAGCCCCCCAGGATGGCGGAGGCCCACCAGGCCGTGGCCTTCCAGTTCACGGTCACCCCCGAGGGCTTGGACTTCCACCTGAGCCGCGAGGCCGTGCGGCAGCTCTACCTCGCCGGCGTCTCCTCCTGGAAGAAGCGCTTGGTCCGCGCCAAGGTGGGCTCGGCCCCCCCGTGCCCCCCCACCCCCTGCCAGCTGCCCCCCGGCCCCCCTGACCCCCCTGTGCCCACAGAACAGCTTCCTGACCGGCGTGTACCCCGCGTCCCCCTCCAGCTGGATGGTGGTGGTCCTGGCCACCGCCGGCTCCTGCTACTGCCAGGTGGACCCGTCCCTGGGGCTCATCGCCCGCATCCGGCACTGCCTCCCCCACAGGTGAGGGGGCGGGACGGGGGTGGGCTCTCGGCCACGGGGATGGGCCACCGGCCACGGGGATGGGCCACCGGCCACCTCCCGGGGAGGGACCCCAACCCCCAGCACAGCCAGTGGGACCTGTGATATCCCTGGGGGGATCCCACCCCACACATCCCCACCCCATGGGCATGACCCTATTTGGGGACGTCCCCCAGGGGTCCTATCCAACGGGAACAGCCCCGTTTGGGTACATCCCTTGGGGGGTCCCATTTCAGGGCACAGCCCCATTTGGGGATGTCCCTCAGAGGGTCCCCCCACCCGCCTGTGGTCCCCCAGGGGACCCACCCCACACGTCCCCACTGGACATCTCCCAAGGGGTCCCACCCCATGGGCACACCCCACCTGCACTATCCCTCAGAGGGACCCCAACCCCCAGCATGGCCGGGGGGCCTGGGGTATCCCTTGGGGGTCCCACCCTACACACAGCCCTGCTTGGGGACATCCCCCAGGGGGGGCACAGCCCCATTTGGGGATGGGGACAGGGACAAGGACAGGGGACAGGGAGAGAGATAGGGACATGGAACAAGGACAGGAGACAGAGAGGCAGGACAGGGATAGGGAACAGGGACAGGGATAGGGA